AGGAAGAACATAAGAACATAAGAACATAAGAAAGGAGGAACACTGCAGGAGGCCTGCTGGCCCATACTAGGCAGGTCCTTTACAATTCATCCCACTAACAAAACATTTTCCCAAACCCAATTTTCAATGCTACCCAAGAAATAAGCTCTGATGTGAAAGTCCCACTCAAATCCAACCCTTCCCACTCATGTACTTATCCAACCTAGATTTGAAACTACCCAAAGTCCTAGCCTCAATAACCCAACTAGGTAGACTTTTCCCACTCATCAACTACCCATTTCCAAAACCAATACTTTCCTATGTCCTTTCTAAATCTAAACTTATCTAATTTAAACCCATTACTGCGGGTTCTCTCTTGGAGGGGACATCCTCAAGACCTTATTAATATCCCCTTTATTAAAACCTATCTTCCACTTATACACTTCGATCAGGTTCCCCTCATTCTTCGTCTAACAAGTGAATGTAACTTAAGATCTTAAATCTTTCTTCATAAGGAAGATTTCTGATGCTATGTATTAATTTAGTCATCCTACGCTGAATGTTTTCTAACGAATTTATGTCCATTTTGTAATACGGAGACAGAACTGAGCTGCATAATCAAGGTGAGGCCTTACTAATGATGTATAAAAGCTGCAGTATGACCTCTGGACTTCTGTTGCTTACACTTCTTGATATAAACCCCAGTAATCTATTTGCCTTATTACGTACGCTTAGGCATTGCTGTCTTGGTTTAAGGTTTGCTGCTCACCATAACCCCAAGTCCTTTTCGAAATCTGTATGGCTAAGTTCTACATCATTTAATTTATAAGTACTAGGGTTATGGGCACTCCCAAGCTTCAGAACCTTGCACTTATCTACTTAAAACTGCATCTGCCACTTTTCTGACCAAGAATAGAGTTTTTTTTAAATCCTCCTGAAGTTCCCTAACATCTACGTTTGAATCAATTATCCTACCTATCTTGTGTCATCGGCGAATTTGCTCATTTTCACTAGTAATTCCCTCATCAAGATCATTGAATATATTATAAACAACAACGGGCCAAGACTGACCCCTGTGGAACGCCACTTGTTACAGATCCCCACTCGGATTTAACCCATTTATGGACACTCTCTGCTTCCTGTCAGTGAGCCAGGGACTCGATCCACGAGAGCACTTTTCCCCCATGCCATGGGCTGCCACTTTCTTTAACAGTCTATGGTGCGGAACTCTATCAAAAGCCTTACTAAAATCTAAGTAAATAATATCAAATTCTTTATTGTGGTCAACAGCCTAAAAAGTTTTCCCTGAAGAAAGTTAATAAATTAGTTAGACAAGCCCGGGCCTCTTGTGAACCCATGTGAGTATCATTAATCAAGCTATGCTTATCGAGATGGCTTCTTATAATCTCAGCTATAATTGACTCTAGTAATTTGCCTACAATTGAGGTAGGCTTATTGGGCGGTAATTTGACGGTAACGACTTGTCCCCTGTTTTAAAAATAGGAGTTACATTAGCCATCTTCCACATATCAGACACTACACCTGTTTGAAGAGATAAATTAAAAATATTATTTAATGGTTCACAGAGTTCCATTTGCTTTCCTTAAGAACCCTTGAAAAAACCCCCATCAGGACCCGGCGACTTATTTTGCTTCAGTCTGTCTATCTGCCTCACAACCATCTCACTAGTGACTGTGATGTTACATAATTTATCTTCTTCTAGCCCACTGTAAAAATTAATTACTGGAATATTGTTTGTGTCTTCCTGTGTAAAAACTGAGAGAAAAAAATTTTATTTAAAATCAAGCACATTTCATTCTCATTTGTCAGAAAGGTGCCCAAAAGTTATTTTTAAGGGGACCTATCTTATCTCTAACTTTTGTTCTATAGACCTGGAAAAAACTTTTTGGGTTAGTTTTAGAATCCCTAGCAACTTTAATTTCATAGTCCCTTTTAGCTTTTCTTATCCCCTTTTTAATGTCCCTCTTAATGTAAATATACTGATTCATAAGATGCCCTCACCCTCTTTTGATACGCCTATAAAATTCCTTTCTTATGCCCTAGTAGATATTTGAGCCTATTATTCATCCTTTTGGGTCATTTCTATTTGATCTAATTTCTTTATATGGATAAACGCTCTTTGAGCAAGCATGTTTTATGTTCAGAAAAACTGTCATATTGGGTAGCTCTCTTCGTTACCCCCGTCAACAGATGATAAGTGTTCTTTAAGCCCATCGTAATCTGCTAAGGGGAAAATCTGGGACTGTTACTGAGTTATCGCTACTATTTGTACTTCCATTCAATGCTAAATGTAATTGATTTTGTGGTCGCTAGCACCCGTTCCTCTGAAATTTCTAAATTATTAACAAGGGATTCATTGTTTGCCATAACTAAGTCAAGCAGGTTATTTCCCCTTGTAGGTTCTGTCACAAACTGCTTCAAAAAACAATCCTGAAATACTTCTAAGAAGTCGTACGATTCTAAATTCCCAGTCAAGAAATTCCAATCAACATGACTAAAATTAAAGTCTCCTAGAATTACTACATTATCGTGCCTTGTGGCCTTAACAATTTCCTCCCATAGTAGTTTCCCTTGGTCCCTATCTAAGTTAGGGGACGGTATATCACTCCTAAAAAATCAGTTTTTCATGCCCCTCTGAAAATTCTATCCAAACAGACTCTGTATGTGTTACTTCAGATTAATACCCGTTTTTATGCAACAGTTCAAACGATCTCGGACGTACAATGCCACCCCACCCCCCCCCCAATACTTCTATCTTCTTGGAACAATTTAAAACCCTGAATATGACATTCCGCAGGCATGTCCCGACTTTTTGAATTAAACCCGTCTCAGTTAAGGCAAATACATCAATGTTACCTACACTAGCAACTAATCTCAACTCGTCCATCTTATTCCCAGCACTACGGCAATTAGCATAATAAACATTGAAAGACTCTCCTTTCTCTTTACCCTTCCTGCTCATTTCTATTTTTCTACTAAACCTATACCGTCTTTATCACCCAAGGTCCCTGGCTTTTCAATATCTATCTCGTTCTTATTATTACTAGTTCCCCTAGAACTCGTAATATTACTACACTGGGACTTCACTGTTTTCCTGCCAAAACCCATACCACTAACTATTCCTAGTTTAAAGTCCTAACTGCTCCCTCCACTGCAGTTGCCAGTGCTCCCACCCCACACCTAGATAAGTGAACAGACAGGAAGAAGGTACCTGGGAATGTATCCTAGGAACAGACAGGAAGAAAGTACCTGGGAAAGTATCTTAGGAACAGACAGGAAAGGTACCTGGAATGTATCTTAGGAACAGACAGGAAGAAAGTACCTGGGAATGTATCTTAGGAACAGACAGGAAGAAAGTACCTGGGAATGTATCTTAGGAACAGACAGGAAGAAAGTACCTGGGAATGTATCTTAGGAACAGACAGGAAGAAGGTACCTGGGAATGTATCCTAGGAACAGACAGGAAGAAAGTACCTGGGAATGTATCTTAGGAACAGACAGGAAGAAAGTACCTGGGAATGTATCTTAGGAACAGACAGGAAGAAGGTACCTGGGAATGTATACTAGGAACAGTTGGGAAGAGAGTTGTCAATTATTATCACTGGTGCACCTTGACTTACTCTGGTTCAACTACAATATTTAACCCTTTGAGGGTTTTCGTCGTACTAGTACGTCTTACGCGTAGGGGTTTTTGACGTACTAGTACTCATAAATTCTAGCGGCCTCAAATCTAGTGGGAGAAAGCTGGTAGGCCTTCATATGAAAGAATGGGTCTATGTTGTCAGTGTGCACAGTCTAAAAAAAATCCTGCAGCACACAGTGCATAATGAGAAAAAAAAAACTTTGACCATTTTTTTTTAATAAATCAGCAACTTTGCAGTGTATTTTCGTATGGTATTTATTGTTGTATTCTAGTTTTCTTGGTCTCATTTTATAGAATGGAAGACATATTACAGAAATTGAGATGATTTTGACTGGTTTTACAAAAAGGTGCCTTGAAATTGAGCTCAAAGTAGCAGAAATGTTCGATTTTTACCAAACTTCAAAAGTAAACAAATCGTGCCAAGCGTGCAATACACGTCAATGGTGAGTCTAATATTCTTTCACAAGTGCACCAATAATATTTATACCATTTTTTACACTAATGCAGTAGTCTGCATAACAGTAAATCTTATATTTTTTGTGAAAATAAAAATTCAAACTGGAAAGCAAAAGAATATAAGAGGGGCCTTGAGACGTGACTAATGACTAGAGGAAATGTCATTTTAGTGCCAGGAATGTCTTTCTTGTTTATTCTGGACCCTATTCGGAAATTGGCATCTTTTAAAATTTTGTGTGAAATTGGCAAAATTGCTAAATTCTGACCACTGTACTGGATAGTTGAATTTCATAAATGAGTGGTTTCTTGCACCCATTCGATAGAAAAAATGGAGTTCTAGTGAAATATTCATGTTTTTTGTCGACTAGTACAGTGAAATTGGCCGAAAATGGGGCTCAAAGTGGGCAAAATCGCCGATGCGTAAACATCTCCGAGACCGCTAATTTTGCGAGAGCATAATTCCGTAAGTTTTCTATCAAATTTCAAACTTTTGGTGTCTTTATGATCGGGAAAAGATTCTCTATCTTTTCATAAGAGAAAATAATTTTTTTTTTTTAAATTTGGCCGACCCTGAGAACGAGTTTCAGAGAGGGCCTGTCGACCCTCAAAGGGTTAAACTTTACGATGGTGAAAAAGCAATTACATGTACTTTGGAGATGAAATTTAAGACAAAATTACCCAGTAAGGCGGCAAATCCATAATGTGAATACAATTTTTTTATGTTTGAAAACTGATATTTAGTTGGTTACAGTAATTAATAGTTTAAGTACTTATTTATTGACAGTAGCATTTATTTACTTATTTTTTAGCATATGTTAATTTTCGACTTTCAATATTTTTGACCTAAAATGGGTTTGTCGGAATGTAACCCCATGGTGAGTCAAGAAGGATCTGTAATTACCATTCGTTGAAATATTGATGGTGTTGTTCATGTCTCGGACTCGAGTATAGAAGGACCAGAGAGAGACTGAACCCGTGGCATCAGCCTCGGCTTGGTGGTACTGGAAGTTTTTCTGCAGTAGGAACCACTTGTGTTGGCACTGGGCACTGTGCACGTCATGACCCTCTAGTGCCATCTGCTGCGCAATTTCCTGTTTGAGAAAAAATACAAGAATAAAACACAATTATTTTTTTATTAACACATCAGCCAATTCCCACCAAGGTAGGGTGGCCCGAAAAAGAAAAACTTTCACCATCATTCACTCCATCACTGTCTTGCCAGAAGGGTGCTTTACACTACAGTTATAAAACTGCAACATTAACACCCGTCCTTCACAGTGCAGACACTGTACTTCCCATCTCCAGGACTCAAGTCCGGCCTGCCGGTTTCCCTGAACCCCTTCATAAATGTTACTTTGCTCACACTCCAACACCACATCAAGTATTAAAAACCATTTGTCTCCATTCACTCTTATCAAATACGCTCACGCATGCTTGCTGGAAGTCCAAGCCCCTCGCACACAAAACCTCCTTTACCCCCTCCCTCCAACCTTTCCTAGGCTGACCCCTACCCCGCCTTCCCTCCACTACAGATTTATACACTCGAAGTAATTCTGTTTCGTTCCATTCTCTCTATATGTCCGAACCACCTCAACAACCCTTCCTCAGCCCTCTGGACAACAGTTTTGGCAATCCCGCACCTCCTCCTAACTTCCAAACTACGAATTCTTGGCATTATATTCACACCACACATCACCCTCAGACATGACATCTCCACTGCTCCAGCCTTCTCCTCGCTGCAACATTCATCACCCATGCTTCACACCCATATAAGAGCATTGGTAAAACTATACTCTCATACATTCCCCTCTTTGCCTCCAAGGACAAAGTTCTTTGTCTCCACAGACTCCTAAGTGCACCGGTGACCCTTTTCCCTTCATCAATTCTATGAGGCACCTCATCTTTCATCGATCCATCTGCTGACACGTCCACTCCCAAATATCTGAATAGTACATTCACCTCCTCCATACTCTCTCCCTCCAATCTGATATCCAATTTTTCGTCCCCTAATCTTTTTGCTATCCTCATAACCTTACCCTTTCCTATATTCACTTTTTTCTTCTTTTACATACCCACCAAATTCATCCACCAACCTCTGCAACTTCTCTTCAGAATCTCCCAAGAGCACAGTGTCATCAGCAAAAATCCAACTGTGACAACTCCCACTTTGTGTTTGATTCTTCATCTTTTAGCTCCACACCTCTTGCCAAGACCCTCGCATTCACTTCTCTTACAACCCCATCTATAAATATATTGAACAACCACGGTGACATCACACATTCTTGCCTAAGGCCTACTTTTACTAGGAAATAATCTCCCTCTTTCCTACATACTCTAACCTGAGCCTCACTATCCTCGTAAAAGCTCTTCACTGCGTTCATTAACCTACCTCCTATACCATACACCTGCAACATCTGCCACATTGTCCCCCTATCCACCCTGTCATATGCCTTTTCCAAATCCATAAATGCCACAAAAACCTCTTTAGCCTTATCTAAATACTGTTCATCTATATGTTTCACTGTAAACACCTGGTCTACACACCCCCTACCTTTCCTAAAGCCTCCTTCTTCCTCTGCTATCCTACTCTCCATCTTACTCTTAATTCTCTCAATAATAACTCTACCATACACTTTACCAGGTATACTCAACAGACTTATCCCCCTATAATTTTTGCACTCTCGTTTATCTCCTTTGCCTTTATACAAAGGAACTATGCATGCTCTCTGCCAATCCCTAGGTACCTTACCCTTTTCCATACATTTATTAAATAATAGCACCAACCACTCCAAAACTATATCCCCACCTGCTTTTAACATTTCTATCTTTATCCCATTAATCCCAGCTGCCTTACCCCTTTTCATTCTACCCACTGCCTCATGAACTTCCCCCACACTCACAACTGGCTCTTCCTCACTCCTATGAGATGTTATTCCTCCTTGCTCTATACACGAAATCACAGCTTCCCTATCTTCATCAACATTTAACAATTCCTCAAAATATTCCCTCCATCTTCCCAATACCTCTAACTCTCCATTTAATAACTCTCCTCTCCTATTTTTAACTGACAAATCCATTTGTTCTCTAGGCTTCCTTAACTTGTTAATCTCACTCCAAAACGTTTTTTTATTTTCAACAAAATTTGTTGATAACATCTCACCCACTCTCTCATTTGCTCTCTTTTTACATTGCTTCACCACTCTCTTAACCTCTCTTTTTCTCTCCATATACTCTTCCCTCCTTGCATCACTTCTACTTTGTAAAAACCTCTCATATGCTAACTTTTTCTCCCTTACTACTCTCTTTACATCATCATTCCACCAATCGCTCTTCTTCCCTCCTGCACCCACTTTCCTGTAACCACAAACTTCTGCTGAACACTCTAACACTACATTTTTAAACCTACTCTATACATCTTCAGCCCCATTGCCTATATTCTCACTAGGCCATCTATCCTCCAATAGTTTTTTTTTTTATTATTAACACACTGGCCGATTCCCACCAAGGTAGGGTGGCCTGAAAAAGAAAAACTTTCACCATCATTCACTCCATCACTGCCTTGCCAGAAGGGTGCTTTACACTACAGTTTTTAAATTGCAACATTAACACCCCTCCTTCAGAGTGCAGGCAATGTTCTTCCCATCTCCAGGACTCAAGTCTGGCCTGCCGGTTTCCCTGAATCCCTTCATAAATGTTACTTTGCTCACACTCCAACAGCACGTCAAGTATTAAAAACCATTTGTCTCCATTCACTCCTATCAAACATGCTCACGCATGCCGCTGGAAGTCCAAGCCCCTCGCACACAAAACCTCCTTTCCCCCCTCCCCCCAAACCCTTTCCTAGGCCGACCCTACCTCCCCTTTCCCTTTTCCACTACAGACTGTTTACACTCTTGAAGTCATTCTGTTTCGCCCATTCTCTTACATGTCCAAACCACCTCAACAACCCTTCCTCAGCCCTCTGGACAACAGTTTTGGTAATCCCGCACCCCCTCCTAACTTCCAAACTAGAATTCTCTGCATTATATTACACCACAATTGCCCTCAGACATGACATCTCCACTGCATCGAGCCTTCCCCTCGCTGCAACATTCATCACCCATGTTTCACACCTATATAAAAGCGTTGGTAAAACATACTCTCATACATTCCCCTCTTTGCCTCCAAAGGAAAAAGTTCTTTGTCTCCACAGACTCCTAAGTGCACCCTCACCCTTTTCCCCTCTTTCAATTCTATGATTCACCTCATCTTTCCTAGCCCCATCCGCTGCCTCCTCTTTTAGTTTATAAACCTTCACCTCTCTCTTACTTGACGCTTCTATTTTCCTTGTATCCCATCTCCCTTTTTAAATTTTCCCACTGTAGCTACAACTAAAAAGTGATCTGATATATCTGTGGCCCCTCTATAAACATGTACATCCTGAAGTCTACTCAACAGTCTTTTATCTACCAATACACAGTCCAACAAACTACTGTCATTACCCCCTAAAATCTATCTTGTACATATATTATTTATCCTCTTTTTCTTAAAAAATATGTATTACCTATAACAAAAAACCCTTCTTTTACAAAGTCCAACAAAGGACTCCCATTATCATTTACACCTGCCCCCCCAAAAACTTACCTACCACATCCTCTCAAAAAGTTTCTCCTACTTTAGCATTTAGGTCCCCTGCCACAATTACTCTCTCGCTTGGCTCAAAGGTTCCTATACATTCATTTAAAACATCCCCCAAAACTTCTCTCTCCCCTTTCTACACCCTCTCTACTCCAGGTGCATACATGCTTATTTGCCCCACTTTTTGCATCCAACCCTTTTTTTTAATCCACATAATCCTTGAATTTACAACATTTATATCCCTTCTTCTCCTCCATAAACTGATCCTTCAACATTACTGCTACCTCTTCCTTAGCTCTAACTCTCTAAAATTTACTTCGACTTAATCCCATTTATTTTCCCCCTAAAACTTGCCTACCCCTTCAGCTTTTTTTCACTTAGGGCCAGGGACATCCAGCTTCTTTTCCTTCATAACATCAGCAATCATTTCTTTCGTGTCATCCGCCCCTAGGATCCACGCACATTCAAGCATCCATTTTTTTATAAAGTTTTTCTTCTCTTTTTAAGTAAATTTTCTACAGGAGAAGGGGTTATTTCCCATTGCTCCCAGCATTTTAGTCGCCTCATACGACACGCATGGCTTAAGAGGAAAAGAGGTCTTTTCCACTTCCCCATGGACAAAAAAGGGAAAAATAAAGAAGAAAAAGAGCTATTTAGAAAAAAAGAAGAAAAACCTAGATGTATGTACAAACGTGTATATGCATGTGCATGCCAGTGTAGTGTGACCTAATTGTAAGTAGAAGTAGCAAGATTACCTGTTAACAATCCAGCGAAATTAAAACCCAGAAATAGGGATTAAAATAAGCTCTCAGTGTACATACAAGCAGGCTCCTCTGTACAGCGCTTCACTTTGCAGCATATCGCAAATAACAAGAGATTTCAATTAGTATACCCATTTCTCATTTATTCAGATTCCCTTTACAAAAAATATATTCACCACTCACTAAACGCTTAGGATGAAAATATTTTTAGGAAAGTAATGTGTGTTCTAGGTAGAAGGTTGGTAGACCAGAAACCCTCCCAGGGAGGTACTACCATCCTGTACATGAGTGTAAATTGAAAGCCTGTACGGTGGACCCTCGGTTATCGGCCGTTCCATTATGGGCCCAGCTTGGTTATCGGCCAGTTTTTCGATTTCCCGGGTTTTATTGGGATTTTTTCGCTTATCGGCTGTACTGGATGCGTCAACCCCAGCCGCTCACGAGTTCCTGAGTCAGTCTGGCTGTGTCTCTGGGCGAGTGAGGAAGCTTCCGCTCATTCATCCTAACATTTTGCTATAATCCATTTTTTTGGTGGTTATTCATTAAGTGCAACTGCGAAATAAGTAACCATGGCCCCAAAGAAAGTTCCTAGTAAAGTTCCTTTGGTAAAGAAAGTGAGAAACACGATAGAATTCAAGGCAGGCAGTCATAGAGGTAAGGAGTGTAGCAGGGAGTGTAGCAGGCATACAGGGAGTGAAGCAGGAAGGCAGGGA